GAGGGAAGCCTGGGAAAAGGCACAGTAAGTTTTGCTTGTCCCTGAAGTTTGTAATGAAGCTTAGAAATTCTAGACATGTGACACAGTTGCCTTTATTTGTATGTCATACTCATATGACCTTTAAAAATCAGTAGGTAATCGCTCTATAAAATAATGATTTAATAAGATTAATCACAATTTATAAATTAATAACATTATCTTATAAATATATGACTGCTTCTTATTGAGTCATATTTTAAAATCTCACAAGAAGCCAAGTATTCTATTAGAGCTTCTAGGATTATCCTGTGCTAGAGGAATGAATATAATACAAACTGCAGTTCTCAGTAAGTAATTGGCCTCCTATAAGCTGTAAAGGACCTAAAATATATCAAAACCTTCCATCAAGAATGAGGTTATAGCTGTTCCTTCCCTATGGAAAGAAAAGCAGCTAGAGCAGCTGGGCAGTCACTGAAGATGTAGGTGTAAAGCTTCCAAGTACTCTGAGCTGCCACAGTCAGCTCCCATGGACTGTACTGCATTCACATGGCTGAAAATACATTGCTGATCAGTGGCACTGTTCAGAGGAATCAACAGCAGCAATGCCTTCCTGCTCTGCCTGTTTTTCACTGGTATTACTTACAGCCTCATGGTTGTAAGCCATTTCACCAATTAATTAGACAATTGGTTTGCTCTTTGATTTCTCTGTGGCAAAGGCAGTATGTGTCCTGTGCAGCCTGTTAGCAGGAGGGACTGTGGTCACTCCTCCACGAGTAATCCTCAGCTATCTTGGTCATCCTTAACCCCAAACCACTGCAGTCCACTGCACTTTGAGGAGCACTGGTTGCTGCTTCCTGACTGCCAGGGGCACAAGGCAGCAAGACTTCTTCTGAGCTATTCCTCCTTGAAGCTTTATTGACTACTATTTGTAAGTAGTGCAGCAGGATGTGTAACCAGTGGTGCATTTTTTGTTCATCAGACAGGCTGTAATTCGTGCCCATCAGCAGCAGCTGGATGACTTGGCATGCCTGTGCTTCAAGGAGGAGTGCTTGATAAATCAGATGTCGGCAATGGTAAGTGTTTCAGGTGATGATTTTGGTGCCCATTGAACCTGCATAAATTGATCTTAGAGATTAAAAACTTGAATTGCTAATGTTCCTTGTCAGGTCTCCCTCTTGTTCTCCAGTGCCTGCCTGAGCCCTAGGGGAGGCCTCTCATTTTCAGTGCCTGTTGTGCCTTTGCCAGTCTCCACTCTGTTCATATCAGCAAATACAGTTCATATCAGTAAATACAAGCTCCATTGCTGCATTACATTATCAAACTATTTCAATCCCTATCACAGTTCAGATCTGGAGTGCAGGGACTCTTGCCTCAGGGATTTTGGAGCAGAGCCACCGTGTGGCTTATTCGCTGTGATTTCCAGCTGCATTTGCTGTGTTACAGATGACATACAGAAGTTCACAAAGCAGCACAAGAGCCATAAACTGTTAGTTTTGTGACAGAGAATGCAGTGATAGAAAGCAATCTTTATTTTTTTTAGTTTTTAACATCTTTTGAGATTGTTCTTTCTAAGTCTGTTGGTCACTGGACACCAGCCCTCCCCCCACCATTTATTTGCCCCTTGCAGCAAGCAAGTATTTTCTGGTTAGCAGAATTGTGACAAGCTTGCCAGGCCTCCCAGCAGTGTGTGAATAGCATGTCCTGTAGTGTCATTTCACAGCATGACCTTTTTGGGGCAATGGAATTAGCTTGGGCTTCCTTTCATCATATTCTCTCATTCTATTCTCAGATGGCTGCAACTTCTTCAGCCATGAAACTCTGACTGCAGGAGATACTCCTGCCAGGACCAGCCACATACATACACGAAGCAGTTTCTAAAGTGCTTGGAAAAATATGCCATAGCAGCTGGGCTGGTCTTCATTACTGTCCTGACGTCCCTGCAAGACAGAGATACGGTGAAGGAGATAGCTGGAGTGCTGCCAATAAGCTTTAGAGTGATTAATTTCCACACGCAGCAGCTGAGATCCCCAGCCCTGGGGATGCTGATGCCTCCCAGCTTCTGAGACACTGACCCATGAACAGAGGCACCAAACTGCTCTCAGCTGGAGAGTACAGCAAGTCTGAGTGCTCTCTCATTAATATAAGCCCTACTTACAAACAACTGCATTCATTTCAGTTTTAACCACAGTTTCATATCACTTTTTATTCACGTGGCAGCAGAGTTCCCCTTGGCTGTACACAGTGCTGGTATTGCTCACGTCAGACCTGCAGCCACACAGGAGTTGGACTGGCCTGGCCCAGTGACCTGATGCGAAATGAATCAATCTCTCAAAATTAGGACGTTACGTCTGATCAATGAGTGGCCCAGCTCCCCATTTATTTTCACGGTCGCTAGATCCAACACATGTCAGAACAGTGTTCAGTGCAGCGTAAAACTGGATGACCAGTCCCCGTACCAAACCTCTGAAAAGCTAACCAGTGTAGAGCAGTAACAACAGGTACTTTATACATTTTTGGTTTTGTTTTGAAAGCATTGTATTAGCTGCAATTTCACCAACAGATAAAACCACAAGAGTCAGTGAACTGTGATATTTAGAGACATTGACCTTTGTCTGTGAGGACTGGGACTTCTACAGGGAAATGTTGATTTAATCTATTGGACTACAGAATGGAAAACATGCATTTATATACTGCTACAGTCCAACCTGCTCCTACTGTTCCCTAAACTTTTGTTTTGCCTTCCCCACCAGGATTTTCAGAATTTCGCAACCAAGCTGGATGAAATCTTGATGCTGAAGTCAGAGTGTATCCAAACCATGCGAGCACAGCTGCAGCTCTGCTTAGCCTCTCCTGGCATTGACATGTAACTGCAAACACCTCCATCAGTTTAGACCTTCTGTGTCCAGGTGCACAAGGCCAGCTATGCAAACACCAGCTACACTTTGCTACACTTGGTGCTGCAAAGAGTGGGTGGCAGGGGATAGTGTGTGGTTTGAGGTTTGTGAATGGTGTGTATTGTGGATAAGGACAGAGAGAATCCTGATTAAATGAGAGACTAATTGACACCACAACCTTTGTATTTCATGAATACCAGTAAGCCACAATCTTAAGAATAACAATTCAGCAGCCTTTAACTATCGAACAAAATAGCAGAGTCTTATCATAGCAGCTTCTCACATGTTAAAGGCAATTCTTCTGTGATTGCCAAGAAAATGGGAGGGGACAATTTTGAAGCCAGACACAGGTCTGGACAGAAGTGCTCAAAAGCCACCTAAAGTGCAAACGGAGGCAGGAAAGAGAGAGGAGCCACAGGTTGTTACATAACTAGAACATATATAAATGGAAGTCAAGGCAGGCCAAGAAATGCTGCCAATTCCAGAAGAAGAAAATTAGTTCCTGAGATGAACACTCAGAGCTCCTGAAAGTGGTGTCTTAGTTCATGGGTAACAAGTGGTTTAGCAGACACTTTGTACCCAAGATTCATCTGTTGTGTTAATAAGCATGTTTGGGTTTCATGCTGCTGCACACAGCAAGAGGCCAACAGCTTACCCACTGCAAACCAGGGCTGGCTCAGCAGCCAAGCTCACAGGACTGTTTTTCCACATGAAAAGCTGGTCTGGCAGGAGGCAGTGTGCTTCCAGAACCTGGAAGCTTCATGTAACAGCTGCAGACAGCATGTGGAGCTGGTGTTTGAATCATCATCTGTAGCCCTGCAAAAGCTCTGGTGCTGCTGCGTCGTATCTGAGCCACAAAGGCAGTCCACTTGCTTGAAGGCATAAGTGACCTTGAAACACGCTTACTGCCAACACACTGTGTGAGCACTCCCACTCCAAAATTAGGGCTGTCACAGCACATTCATCCATCTCAGTGTCTCCTCAGTAATGCCCATGGTAGCTCAGTCAAAGCCTGCTCAGTAGCCAGAAATGCCAAGGGTAATGGAACACTGCTGTCTAACCAGCTGTAGATTTTACTGCCTGCCTCTACAGCTTCCCCGAGGAGCCCAGGTTGGGCTGAGCAGCCATACAGTGATCACAGTGACACTCCAGGATGCATATTTGGTGCAAACACTCCCAGGAACATCACACAATGTAGGCCTGGGGAATAGAAGCAAACTCTACATCAGTGCCCTGACTGTTGAGGTGGTTTTAGTAGTTGTTAGTCTCCAGCTGGCAGCTGAGACTGGATTTCTCTGTGGAACAAAGAGCAGAGTTTCTCCAGGGTCTGAGTTTATGGCTCTCAAGATGGTTCCTGTCCAGACTAGAGGCTAGCAGCATGTCACACCTGAACCCAGGTCTCATCTCCTGTCCAGAAGCTTCCTCATCCAGAGAAATGAGGTGTCCCTGAGCAAGACTTTTGGTACTTTGGGATCTGTCCACAGCACAGAACAGTGGTGCCTGAGAGCCACGAGAGAGCTGGAAAGCAGTGGGACACCCAGTACCCTGATAAAACCATGCAAGGAGGAGCAAGCTTTAAATCAAGCTCCCCTTTAAAACCAGCAACTCCCTCCACCTCCTAAAGCCAGGGAGAGCTTTCCCATGAGTAAGGTGAGGGGAATACAAGGCAGCTGGGTAGTCCTTGTACCTTCTGAAAGGATTAATGGATGTGAGGGCTCACAGTAGTTTCCACAGCATTTTCTCATCAAGTATAGAGCAAATAGGGCTGCCAGGGAGCTGCTGAGTTTTTCAAGTTCACTTGGAACCAAGGAAAAGGTCAGACTGTAGGACACGTGTGCACAGGTCACAGGAAAATGTGATGCCCAGCCAGAAACACAGTGCGAGGGAGGAAAACTTTCCCTCCATGTACTCTGACATTTGGGAGATGGAGTATTGGTTGACTGCACTTCAAGGTTTTTTTTAAAGAGCAGCTCAGCAGTTTGTTCACAGGCATTTTCAGTGTCTCACAGGAGCTGAACATTTCTAGAGCAACACACAAGGATGAACCATTTGCACAACCACCAGTGCCATGCCCTAACCTCAGCATTTTCAGAGGCAGTTGTGACAAGATAGATGAGGGACCAAAAACTTCCACAGGCAGAGATGTAGGTTAAGTCAGCTGCCAGACTTGAGCCACCTGTGAATCCCATCCAGGCTACTGTGAAAAAGGCAAGTAAGTCTGTCTGGCAGATCTGAGACCCAGAGTGAGTTTCCAGAGCAGGATCCATTCATTCCCTTGAGGAAAGGCCAGGGACACTCAGAAACAACAAATACTCAACAACAACATGCAGTTTCCCTGAGATCTGATACAATCCTTTTTAAACTGGCATCATCCAGCCAATCCACAGGTCTATACCTTCTCAAGTGCAACATT